CCACTTCCCAGCAGGAAGTCAGAACCAATCGGCATGCAGGGTGGTCTCCTCTTCAAAACATGCACTTGGGAGTTGGGAGGTATTTGCATTGGTCCGTCTGCAGCTCTTTGCAAGCTCTGCTTATCCATCAGGCCCTTTTCGGCATAGGTATGTGACAACGGCTACTGGCAATTGCACAACTCTAAATCAGTCTAGCGTCAGATTGGGTTCAATGCTGTGGCCTACCAGAAGGTCCTGAAGACATGGTTTTGCCACTTGGCCTGGGCTTTGTGAAAGTGTATATGGAGGTTGCAAAGTGGCTGCATTAGTAGAGAAATTGAGTGCACCATCCCAAGATTATGTGGATTTTTAAAAATGGGTTGTTTTAAAATGATTTTAGTTGTAATGCTTTTAGTTATTGTTGTTATATGGTTTTTAAATTTTCTATGCTACTGAAAGTCACATAGGTCAGGGCTTTTCAATCAGTGGTACGGGTACCACCTGTGGTACACCTGTGACCATCCTAGAAAAGTGATAGCAGGGGAGGGGAATGAGCTGAACCGGTGGCAGCACTGCACAAGCCTGAGTAAGAGATGAGTGGAGCTGCAGGGCTGTCAGGGCTCAGTGGAAGCGCCAGGAACAGCGCTTCTTCGGGACTGTCAGGCCTCAGCGGAAGCGCCAGGATCAGCGCCAGGCTCCAGCTGGTGCTCGGCGCTGATCATGACGCTTCTGCTGAGCGCAGAAGAAGCGTTGATCAGCTGGAATGTTGCAGCATCTCCAGGGTCTTGTGATTTACATTAAGATGCTTGGCAACTGATTCATATTTATGATGGTCACAGTTTCCCAGGTGAAGTGACCAAAACCTGCTGCAACCACCCAGAAGACGGGGGGAATAAAAACCAAACACCCCCCACCCCACCCCCGCTGCCAAGCCTCAACAGAAATGCTCACAACAATAAAAACCTCAGACAGGAGGAAGAGCGCTGCCGGGTGGGCAGGCAGGTGTCTTGCTCGGCTGTGCCTTGGGGAGCACTTTTTTCAGTGCCATTGTAACTTCGAACAGTCACTAAGTGAAATGTTGTAAGTCAAGGACTACCTGTACTTTATCACTTTTTTCCTTTTTTTTTTGGTCATCAAGTTTTTGACACCTTGCTAGGCGACTGGTGGTACTCAGATATTGCCATATCCTAAAAGTGGTACAATGGGTAAAAAGGTTGAAAAGCCCTGACATAGGTGATATGAACAGCTAAATAAACTTAGCAAATCAATTAGTAAATAAATAAAGAAAAAGAACATTGGTAGCATAAATAGGAAGACCCTCCACTGATGCCTTTTTATCCGTACAAAGGGAAAGAGCTGGAGACAATAGCTGACTGGCATGTAATGGAGCAACATTGTTGACTGGATGAAATAGCTACAGTTCTGGACAGCTGTTGTCTTGTTTTATTGTGCAGATCTCCTAGATAATCTGCTCCTTTATCAACTCATTTTGACAGTACCACTGTCGAATCTAGACAGATTGAGATAGCAGCCAGCACAAGTAGATGGGTTACTTCACTGTGCAGATAGACACCTGGATTCTGCCAGTTGCAGGCGAGCTATGGGGTTGATCATTAGCTGGTAGTCCTTCTCTACCAATTTTCTCCTCCCACTGGTGATAGATGTGCTTTTCTACTTTCACCTCATAATCAGGAGGTCAGCTCAACAACCCATCAACCTCATTCCCTGACTAAATTTCCCCTCTTTCCCCTCCATATATCATTGTTAATGTTAGATCGCGCAGGCAGTAAGACACGAGTCGAGTGACAGTCAGCTCTCGGTTTATTGGCAAGGCATAAAGTAAATCCGGACTGGCATCTGGGCCAGGGGAGCCCTCTTTTATGGGATTCCCCTGGCTCGTAATCACACAATTCCATTGGCTGGTAAGACCCTGCTGCTAGCTAGCCAACCAGCAACGGGCATGAAACTGTATGCAGATGGAGAAGGGCAATCACCCTTAATGGGTGATCAGGATGCGCATAGGGGATTAGGGAGGGAATACAAAAGAACACAACACCCCTCCCCTCAAAGTTCTTGCTATCGTCCTTGATGAATAGTGGTTACATAGTCCTTCAGATATGTGGGAGGCCGATGNCCACTTCCCAGCAGGAAGTCAGAACCAATCGGCATGCAGGGTGGTCTCCTCTTCAAAACATGCACTTGGGAGTTGGGAGGTATTTGCATTGGTCCGTCTGCAGCTCTTTGCAAGCTCTGCTTATCCATCAGGCCCT